GTGACTGGCCGCCAGCCGGATTTAACGCCATCCTAAACGTTACCTAAGTGTACTCTCATTGGCAATACTTGACAATTACAATATTTGAGAGCACTTATTTTATTTTCCATCTTTTTAATCCTTTTTCTGTCTCATTACTGAATGCACTTGCATAAATAGGACTGCTTTTACCTGAAGAACTACTGGTCATATAACCCTTCTGCACAATTCATAAACTCCCAGGATGTGCATAATCTACTTATTTTAGGCAGTCAATCTTAACCTTAATCATAGTCTTTCAGTCCTTTTTTTCACTAAGCAGAGAGGAAACCTAGCTGACCAGCATGGACCCAAAGTGTGGTTTGTACTAAATATCTTTATTAATAGCTCAATAACAGTCTGGGCTTGTGCTGGAATTTAATGGTGTAGATCTTTCCAAATAAAGAAAAGATTCAAGTCTAAATTCAGATTATCTCTCTAACAATAGCTTGTTTGAGCAAAACAGTTAGATTTGTAGTCTTCATCTCTTCACTACTATTGTTCAGTTTATTGATCAAATACTGTGCATTGTAACATATCTACTGAAAATGTAACAATCATTATTGTAATGGAAAATAGGACTGATCCTCAGCCTCTTCTCTCAGGTTCAGGACTACCTTGAATTTACCTGGAAGTGAATGCTTGAGCCTGATCCCACAGGATTTTCTCAGACAAACTACAAATTAAACCAATTTGCATTGTGCCTATGTAACCCTGCTGCAGGATTAAGCCCTTGTGCAGTTTTAGCAGTGTCCCCAGCAGTGTAGAGGGGCTAACAATATTAGGATTGCTTATTCAGCCAATGCTTGAGAGCATAGTGGCTATTCAGGCCAACAGCTTGAGTAAAATCAACAGAACTGCTGGTACAACTGTTCAAAACTCACATGAGTAAGAATTACAGTATTAGGCCCTTTCTTTCCATAGTCTATTATCAGTAAGTGCTGCAGACGGAAAAACAGTGAAATAGGGAGATACACAGAACATGGCAACAACTGTGAGGAGATGGGAAAATAAAACTTACATTTAAGAGGTTTGACTATTCCATGCAAGCTGCAAGACACATTTAAAGATGTTCCCCTGTGACTAACTTTTACTTTAAAGGTAACAGCTGTATAGTATTTCAACATATATTTTTTTATGTTCCAAGATTCTGTTTCTTAAGTGAAGTGAATCACTGACAGTCTACAGGACTGTTTCTTTAAACTCAGCAAAACCATACAAAGTGCAGGGAATTTTAAGCACTTTGGTAATGTTTGTATTTTAAAGCACTTGTAATGGATTGCAGGTGTACCCAATGTCAGCTTGCATGCAAATTTTGATTTAGTTTCCTGAACAAAAATAAACTACATTGAAAATATTGTTAATCTTCAAATGAAATCTTATATCCAGTCAAAACATAGTGCACTGAAAATGAATTTCCATAACCATATTCTTATTACAATTATTATATTTTTCTGGACACTTTATTCTTACTGGCTCCTCATCTCCCTGCACTTGACACTGATCAGGAATGTACAGAACTTAAGGAGCCTATATTACTGCTAATTCATAATAAAAAGCAATAGAATGCATCAATGGTTTTAGGTTATCCCTGCTGTGAGCTAACATATTTCTTTTTATAGGGATTTAAGGGAGAACTACTGCCGAAATCCAGACGGATCTGAATCACCCTGGTGTTTTACCACTGACCCAAACATCCGGATTGGTTATTGCTCCCAGATTCCGAAGTGTGATGTATCAAATGAACAAGGTAACAGAAGGAAGGGCGATAATGTGATTTTAAGTGAATGCTGTCTTGTTCCAAACAGCAGATAGGCAGGCTTGAAAACCAGAGAAGCTGGTCTCAGTACATCTGCATTACACCTGCGTAGTTCCACTTCGGCTTTATTTGCATACTTGGGATTCATCATGGTTGAAATGAGATTCATTTCTCAGTTCATGTTTCAGTTCCAGCAGGGAAAAACTGCAGCAAAGATTTCTTTTGTACCTGATTTTAGACAAGGTGAATATGTGTGCCATTTTATATTAGCTGAAGATCTGCTCCACTGTCTTACCTTTCTTAATTGGAAAAGCCTTTTTCCAGAGCTGAGATTACTTCCTTGGTTCACATTCTTTTTATAATTTCAATGAGACCACCAAATGTGATCTTTTTATTTCTTTTTTTTTCGTATACCCCCTTGACTAAAAGATGTTGAGCTAAAAAATACATGTGGGACTTCCCATATAACCTCTTAGCTTCAAGTTGTTACCTCTGCCTGTTAAGTCCCCTGTGAGTCTTCGGGCAAATGTTGTTTTGTCCATGAGAACTGATGTTGATCATAGCATAAACTGAGGTTTAGACCTCAGACCTACAACCCTACATCAGGCTGTATTAAGATCTCCATCTTTAAATTTTAGCTATTTTTTCTCTTAAAATTTGAAAGAGTTGCAGTTGCAGTTCTGTTAGAGCACGGATTAAACTTTGACTTTCATTCTGTGTTTTCTGTGAAGTATCAATTATCAATAAGTAAAAATGATTATGAAATAAAATGTTTTATACAAAAAGTCTTTACAGTAGTGATCAGTTTAAACAATCCTCTTGAACAGTCTCAGAAAGGCTTGTGATAAAAGCTTATGAATTAAACATGACTTCTGCTGGAGTGAACAGGCAAGTTTTTGAATTACATGAAAATTAAAGTCATGTCAATTTTTTTATTTTGCCAAAGTAGAACTTAAATCTAGAATTATATACTGTTGCCAGTATCCAGAATCTATGCAAAGGTAAGTTGTTTCAAATAGGCTTGAGTGCCTGTTTGTTGAGAACGGAGTACTAAGGGGGCATTTTTGTTTTGCTCTGTATAAAACAGCTCCTGACAACTTTTAGAATATTCTGTGTGACCCTTCTAAATTAACCATAAACTAACTATTTATGAAATAAATTTTCCCAGTTTATCTAAGTCAAAGAAAATTTAAAATGCTACTGTGTTGAGAATGAAGGCCTCAAGCAGGAGATTATGTATCTAAATTTGAAAACTTTCTCCCATTTTCTTTATGATTTGATTTATACGGTTGTCTGATTTATATTGTATCGTGTTTGCTAAATATAACACTTGACTTTAACCACTTGGATTACTGGTGGAAAGGAAGAGTTTTCTTTTCAATGTTGCACAATCACCCTCCATTTCTTTTTGTCTCAACGTTCTTATTCAGATTGTTATCGTGGCAATGGCAAGAGTTACATGGGGAATCTATCCAAGACAAGATTTGGGCTAACTTGCTCCACATGGGACAAGAATATTGAAGACTTACGTAGGTGTGTACATACAAAACAGAAAGAGATGGTTCAGTGAGTCCTGAATAAATACTGCCTCCAGATGGCATCTCTTTTTCTTCTACAGTGATTCTAAAATAGCCCCTTATGCCCTGGAGCTTTAGTATCTTTTTTTACTTTTTTTTTTACTTTTTTTTTTTTTTCTTTCGGTGTTTAAATATATTACGCAACATGTCTTTGTGAAGGCTAACCACTAATTGCAGGCTTTGGGACGTTTCTTAGTGTTTAGTTTACTGGCCTGATTTACCCCGTCTTTGTCCTTGAAAGTTTTGTTCAATGAGAGGAC